AAACGAAATGGATCTGCCCCCACTAATGGACAGGAATTAATTCTTCTCATCGATAGGCTAAACAACGTCGGAGCTGGAGTCGACAATATTAATTCAAAAATATTCAAGTTATCTTATAAGGTTATACTCAAACCAATTCTCCATCTTTTCAACAGCTGTTTGTCCTCGGGGATATTTCCAAGCATTTTCAAAAGGGCCGTGATTAAACCCATCTTTAAAAGTGGGGACTCGCAACTTGTAGATAATTACAGACCTATCAGCATTTTGCCGTTTATGTCCAAAATTCTTGAAAAACTTATATATAATAGACTCGTCCTTCATCTAAACCAAAACCAGCTAATTCACCAAAAATCAGTTCGGATTTCAGAAGAACAAAAGTACTTACATGCCAATTCTTCTTCTGCAGGAAACTATTACAAAGGCTTTTGAAAATGGGGAATATGTGTTAGGTTTGTATTTAGATCTGAAAAAAGCCTTTGACACTGTAAACATTAGCCTTCTTCTACGTAAACTTACTAAATATGGTATTCGACGAAAATCTCATGAAATCATTTCTTCATATTTGTCTGGCAGAACTCAAGGTGTAAAAATCAGGAATGATCTATCAACAATCAAAAACGTAACAATGGGGTTACCGCAAGGATCCATTCTCGGCCCAATCCTCTTTTTAGTGTACATAAATGACCTACCTAAATTAAGCAGTAACATGATTTGTCTGTCTTATGCTGATGATACTGCGATTGTTTTCAAAAATAAAAGTATTGTCGAACTTCAAAACAATGTCAGTACGCTTTTGCTTCTAATGGCTTCTTGGTTTGCTGCTAATTTTCTCTCCCTGAACGTATCGAAAACATTCACACAGCATTATACAACCCTTTCTTCGCATTTCCGACTAAATGTGCAAATTAATAATTCACCTATTGAAGAGAAAAAGAAATTAAATACCTTCGTGTAATCATTGACAAATCTCTTAAGTTTACAAGCCACACTAATTTTGTTGCAAGCATAGTAAGTAGAAATATTGGAATAATAAGCAGGGTTAGGTACTTTATTGATAAAACAACGTCACATCTACCCTATAACACTTTGATTCTTCCTTACCTAAATTACTGCTGCTTGGTTTGGGGCATAAATTATGCTTCTCAACTAGATCGATTGGTAATTTTGCAAAAAAGGGCTGTGCGTCTTATAGAAAATGTGTATCCTCCGCAAAGCTCAGAGCCAATCTTTTAAACGATACAAAATTTTTGAAACTATCGGATATTGCTAAATCTCAAATCTTAATTGTGATGCACAATTTTTTAACTTCACAGCTCCCTGCATCATTTGATTTAATTTACAATCTCTACGAATTCCAATGACATGGATATGAGGCGAGCAAAACATTTAGAACAGCCTTTCTCTTATCGTAATTATGGACTATTTACAGCATCCTGCCTTGGCCCTAAGCTGTGGAACGACATTCTGGTTCCATATTTTCCAAGAATAGCTGATATCCCTGTATCGAAAACCATCGTTAAGAACATCATCCGCAAGCATTTCGTGAACACATATTAACGTAACAAACATATTTTGAAGACATTGCCATCCTTGTGCTGTACATATCCAACGCACTTCATATTTGACCTCCTTCATGTTTCATAATCAATTTTCTGATATAAAGTCATGCACATATACCCAAATTAGTGGCGCTGGCTCCGAGGAGTTCTCCAGCAACAAGCTCTGCTTAGCTGGGTGGACTTCCTGGAAATCCAGCCCAAAACCCAGCACAAAAATGACCAGGTAATTGCCCCCTCCGACTTGTGACTGTATAACCCTTACTAACACCGGGAATTGAGTGGTTGTAGATTATTGGGCGGTTGTTAGCGGGGCTTCATTAGCTGATTTTGGCTAATGACTACTTTAAAGCCTTTTCATCTATGATTTTCCCTCCCTCTCACATAACACAATTCCCTCGGGTCTGCTCCACCTCCTCGCCTGTTTTTTTTTTTAAGTTTGTTTTCATCTTCCTAGCTGGAGTGCCGCGACTTGATTTTATGTTTTCTGGTGTTAACGTACGGTTTACTGCGTCGCTGGGATTGAGGGAGGGGCACTCCTGGTTACCTCTTCTTGGGTAACGGCGTAGAAAAAAAAATGCAATCTGCAGATAAATTTTTCTGTCAGCCAGTTGCCTTATGTGGTTTCGACACTTGGTGCTGCATCGCCTCATATACGAATGCTGAAGTGGGTATGCCGTTCTAAACATGATCCCGAAACGGCAGATGACATGGGATACTCGCGTGACATTTCTATGGTGTCATACAAGCTTGGGGGATATTTCTGTAGACGGCGCGACATAGGCTGCACGGTGCTGCACATAGCTCAGAAACGAAGGATCTGAAGTCTCGAGAAGCACATGGATGTGTACTGCTGGGGATGGTCATGAACATGTCTATCTCATTTCCAAATCCCATTCAAATGTGAAATGGTGCCTTTAAGAGGTGCTTCGCTGCAAGGACTTGCAAGTTCACAGTCCCGATCACCACCAACCTGAACCTAAGTCAGCACCACCAACCTAAGCCGTGCAAGTTCCGTGGACACCTTTGCGCCACAGGTAGCAGGGGAGCACAATGCTGCGACCCTGACTGGGGGTGTGGGTAAAACCGCATCTCTGACATAGGGCGCAAGCCAGGATTGGAGGAGTCACGCTTGGACGGGGGGGGGGGGGGGGCATGCAGGCCTGACAATGCCATCTGGAATGGGAAAACGTGTGAAACATCTGCATTTTAAAGATGGGAGGAACAAAGTCCCATTTCGTGAAACTTGTGTATGTGTGGGGGAGGCGTGTCCACCCTCTGTTGCTACACACGTGAACCGGGACGATTAGCAGCCACGCACAGGCACACGGCAGATGAAGCTGTGTGCGGCCGAGCATGGGATGACCTTGGCCCCGGCCAGCTCGGTGGCGACGCAGTCTAAGCCGACGCCCAGTCTTGGGCTCATCGGGCAAGCCAGGTTATGTTCCAGGCAGTGCCGTCCACCGAGCGGAAGCTGCTGTCGGAGGCCCGATGCAAGCCGACGTGTTGTGCTCGTGGTGACTGGCATCACCACCCTCAGGATGTTCCACGTGCCGGCGGAGGGGAAGGAGGCGAGCCGCGCGCCCGGCTGCTGCGCCGGGCACAGAAGGGCGGCAATGTGCCAGGTGGCCCAGGTGGAGAAGTAGCCGTAGCAGAAGGCGTCCAGGCCGAGCCAGTCAGCCGGGCAGGGCAACCGCGTTTGGCAGCGGCGCGGCACCTTTGCGGATGTAGCCTTTGCGCAGGTCTGTGCACGGCCGTGCCGCGAACGTATCCATGATGAATTCCTTGCGAACGTTGACGCAGCCGACACCGGTAGCCGCGTTGAAGGCTAGCACGGGTTTGGCTGACGGCTTCGAGCCGTCGATATCGATGAACGTGCCCTCGTCCCAGGTGCGCATGCCAATGTACTCGCCGAAAGGTGGCCGGCTGCCTGTGATGCAGTATCCAGGCGGCCTCGGCCACGTCCGTGGTCGTGGTCAGGTCCGCGCAGGGGCCGCGCGCGCAGTAGGCGGCCCGGCTCGCCTCCCAGTCAAGACCCGACATCGTGGACGACCGCAGGTAACAGCTGTCGCCGAACAGCTGCCAGCCGGCCGGGCAGGGCGTCAGCTCTTCGCTCACGTACTCGACCGGCGTGCTGCCTGCCGGTTGCGGCGCCGGCACCGTCGCCGGACACAGCGCGTCGAATAGCTGGCAGTGGCCGCTGGCGAAGCTGAAGCCGCCGCAGCCGGGCCGCCACCGGCAGCAGGCGGCGCAGATCAGGCGAGAGGGCGCCGACAGCTGAGCGACGGCGGGGCCCGACACGATGCCAGGCTGGCGGGAAAAGCGGCCGATGACGAGCGCGGCGCAGCTGAGCGCCACGACTGCTGACAGCGGGCAGGGCGTCATGCTGCACGTGACCCGGCCGGCGCGCGCGACGGATGTACTGGCCACAACGCCAGGCGGTGGTGGCGAGGAACAGGACGGGATCGGGTGAGAAACATGTAATTTGAGCGCATCACGATTCGGAAACGTCGCAATTGGTGTCGGACCCAATTTCAAGCCTAGAGATAATTTGGATGATGGTTCAATGATTGCTTTGATCTTATGTTTAGATGGTTGTCAAATTCGAGGAGTAGGGGTGTTATCTTTATTGTAGCTTTGAGTCGCGTTACCATTTATGACATTAATGACAGAGGCGGGTTCCGAAACAGCACCCACAAAGGCGTGCTTCCAACTGCAAAGCGAACACATGCAAGACGGAATTATGTTTAAGCGACTTGCAGCCGTGCTCACAATTCCTTGATAATAGCTTAGCAGAAGCGATGCGTCATATGTTTTGCTGCGTCGACAAAACGTTGGATAGCGGGGTATCGGTTTCCTGATGTTTTTTTACTGGATTAATGTCTGAACGATCCGGAGCATAGTGAACTTGAGATAGCTTATCTTCCATCCATATATACACGCGAAAACTTGAAGCGTCTGACTTTGATGGTCCATGACTTGTAATTTTTTTCCCCAAGTCATGTCGGTAATATTTTGTTCAAAAGTGACATAAAACGCCACGGGTGTCTGTTTACATTCTTTTGTGAGGGCCCCAGCCCCCGAATGTTTATCACGATGTACAGACAAGGTGATGATTTGTGTATAGTGTATATATCAATACACCATACAATATAGTGTTTATATCAGACACTGCATGATTTTGATGTATGATTTATCAGACACCGCATGATTTTATTGTATATATATATATATATATATATATATATATATATATATATATATACGTGCGTCTGTGTGTATATGTATGCATAAGTGAGCTCTTTTGCCGCCTAACACTTATATTTCCCTGTATGAAGGTACAATCTACATGTAATATATCCCCTTTCGTCCAAACCAAGGCACAAGCCATTCAGAGTTTTTTTTAGGGTGGCACTCTGAGTTGCATCTTATTCGTGCCGTTCGCCAACAACTCGAGCCCTTGCGTTTCCAATAACATCATTGTCATCCGATTGGCAGATGACACACACATCTTCGTCGGCGGAAACTGAACGATATGAAGCAGCTTATCGCCGGGATGGAACGAGCGCTCAGCTCATCAGTGGTATTGGCACAATGACACGGAGCTAAACGCTCACAAAACACATTATTGATCAACACTCCAACGACGCTGCGAGATTTGCCGCCAGTCGCGCTGATCTTCTGTGGTGCGACAGTCCCTAGCTCCATATCAGTCAGAAAATCAGTCACCACCGGCCGTCACCTCAGCTGCCACGCGGGCCATGTGATCCCGGATGCGACCTTAAAGAGCATTCTGCAAGCGTCGGTGTTGTCCTTAATCAGATATGTATGTCTGCATACGGCTCCTGTAGCGATACTCAGAGGCATCGAGTGTAGAAGATTACAAAATTGTGTGCACGGGTGGTGGCAGGCAGAAGACAAGACGACCACATATCGGACGCTATGGAACCACTTGGGTGACTGACAGCCAGACAAATACCTGTCACACTCTTCCAAGCTGTGCGTGCTGTTCTCTCTCGCATCAAGCCTGAGCTGCCTGACAGCATGTATTACACGATGGGGTAGTGTGCGAATCAAAGGCACGCACAAGCCACCAGCGTGCCGCGTGCCTGACCCGCCGCAAAGCCGCACGGCAGCGGAGAGTCACCGGCCGTGCTACCGGGGCGTGGAGTTGTCGATATGCCCGGCATCGACCCTCAAGCGCCGGCTTTTCGACGCCACGTGAAACAAGTAATAGGTACTGTGAGCGTTGCCGACCAAACTCGGACTTGTGATTTTTACAATGTTCTTTTACACTGCATGTTCTGCATCTCTATATTATGTGAGCGTGTGCTACCCCGCCGGTGGCATGATTGCTCTTTTCTGTGTTCCCGACATATTTTGTATACCACGACGTACCTAAGTGAAAAGCCACGATGTGAATCTAATGTTAACACGCGCCCGGGTGCCCGGCTAAATACCCTTTGCTCGGTTTGGGGTCAGTTTGACCCCCTGAGATCTCGGGAACTAAGAAAGCTAAAGACACCAAATTTGCAGAGTGTCTTGACCTCTACATTAGCTCACTTAGGTCAAAGTTTGGGCTTCTTAGGTCATGACCTTCAGGCTTAAATAAGGTCAAACAAGGTCAAATTCGAGGACGGTCTCCAAAGTGCCCCCAGAACCTAGGAAACTGTTTCTCAGCAAAAGGTCACAAGCCCAGTTGAGGTCACTGACCTTTTTTGACCTTTTGAACGTCATGGTGACCAAAATCGTACAAGACTGCTCTCAGTTTTGCATTTGAATAAACGACAAAGATTGCGCTAGGCAGTATGTTCCTAAAACAAAATGCCGACACGGGTCATCTCAGGTCAATGACCTGTTCTGACCTCTAAGAAGTCAATGGAAGATGCATAATGTGGTTCCTGCTGTCAATAAGTTCGAAATGAACACCACAACCTATCCCATACAGCAAGCCCTAGAGTAATAGATCAGGTTGGTTTTCACCTTAGTCTAACTTTCAAACCTGACCTTAGGTCAAAGTAATTTGTTCATTTAATATTTGTGGTGCCTAAGAAAGCATCTCAGACATGTATGGCTTCGTCAAACACTCCGTTATTGTATGAGATTGGACGATTCCCTGGAAATTGCCTTCCCTAAAACCATGGCCTGACTTTGACCTGCCATAAGTCAGCGATCTTACAAGGTACATCTAATTTTTGATGTCAAACGATCCGCTATTCAGTTGTCTACATTATGCAAAATTTGGCGCGACTACACCGCGCCGTTCGCAACCCATTCTGGAAAAACCCTCAGGGTGTTAATTTGACCCCCCCCCCCCGAGGGTGTGTTAAATACATCATTATCATCATCGTAAGCCGGCCCAGTATTTGTACACGGTGGTACTATCCGTGCGAATGGAGGCACATCATCAGTGTACGACCGAACAGAAGACGTATAGACACGGCCCAACATTCTCGTCAGGTGGGTCGGTTGACGTGAAACGTGACGCGCGCGCACGCACACAACACCACACACACACACACACACACACACACACACACACACACACACACAACACACACACACACCACACACAACACACACACACACACACACACACACACACACACACACACACACACACACACACACACACACACACAACACACACACACACACACACACACACACACACACACACACACAACCACACACCACACACACACACACACACACACACACACACACACACAACAACAACACACACACACACACACACACACACAACACACACACCACACACCCACACACACACCATAACAGACACAGACACAGGACACAGACACAGACACAGACCACAACACAAGACACAGACACGAACAGACACGAAACAACAACAGACAAAGACACAGACACAGACACAGCACAGACACAGAACAGACACAGACACAGACACATACACAGAACAGAACAGACACAGACAAGGACACAGACATAAACAGAAACGACACAGATCACAGACACTATACACAGACCACATACACATACACATACACGCTCCTCCTCTCGCTCTCTCTCTATCTCTCTCTCTCTCTCTCTTCTCTCTCTCTCTCGCTCTCTCTCTCTCTCTCTCTCTCTAAGGCCATAAGGCCATAAGCCATAATATATATATATATATATATATATATATATATATGCATATAAATGTCTGTATATGCATATTGTGTGTGTGTGCACGCATGCGTTTCTGTAACAGAAATGTTCCAAAAGTCATAGGTAACGGTTGTCATGTTCCAACACATGTGGGAACGTTTTGAGCAGCTCTCGAGCTAGATAATAGGTGCAAGTTCTGCTAATCGCTGTCGCACACCAACTACAAGCAACGCACACAAAACCGTCTTCGCAGTTGTTCCTCGCACGGGATGGCAGTTATCATGCACGCATTTTGTGTACTGAAGAGGCTTGACGTTTCTTTTCTAAGCTGCACAAGTGACCATGTGGTGATGTGCCACAGTCGATTCCTTCCTGTAGTTCTAAAAATGTTCATTCCGAATTAGATTGAAGGTAATAAAAGGTGACTCGTGACAATGGGCTCAGCCTCAAAGTGTCGAGGTTTGGGCGCGAAAAGACAGGCGAGAATATAACAAATGCTTTCTTGATAACGTCTTTATGCCAGCATCTCCTGAAAAATGAAGGTAGATCGAAGGCAAAATATTGGCAACACAGTGAGCTGCAAATTATGGGACTGCCATTCAGCGCCAGGCAGATAGAGTAAGAGGGGCAGACACCCTGACCCTTCCATTTCTAGAGAGTTACAAGGCAAAGCTGCTCTCATTCACGCATCGCGGAGACGATTACGCACGTGCGCTGCGCGTGCTTCGGCATATCCACGGCACGAAAAGAATCGTGTCATTAAACCAGCATCTGCTAATGAAATTTTGTATTCCACTTCTTCGAGCAGATAGGCCACATAGGCCACATGGGCACAGTAACTAATTTCATGGGCATATAGGTGGATACACTTGTCACTAATGTCATGCTATATTCGTCACGAACTGAGAAGCATGCATGCCTCCATCATGCCCACTATATCGCAAACATGCTCTTTTGATGCTCCCAGCGTTGCCGCGACGAAATCTAGAAGAATTCAAAGCTTTGGATACGAAAGAACCACGGTCCAAAACTGCAGCTACGTAGAGCTGTGTCCAGCTGCTTTGGGAAAGCTAGTGCAGGGCGTATTGAGGGAAAACTGCGCAGACCCTGAACACGTAGATGTTGAAAATAAGAGAAAGCAAGTCGGCTCTGCCTGCAATCAGGTTTTAAGAGAAGAGAACCTGATGCTCAAGGTGTTCGAGCGTAATATAAATATCCCGAAGCGGATATCACTCGACAGCGCTCAAACCTACATCATCACGTTCAACGCGCTGCTGACGAGAGGGATACGGTGGATAACGTCAAGGAATCACTTCTGAACTAGAGTAAACGCTTTAAGCCAGTCGTCACCAGGAACTATGAAAAATATATATATATATATATATATATATATATATATAACACAACTAAACAATTGTATTTGGAAGCGATTTTGAGCTCGGACAACGATCGAAGATGGCTAAATGACTTCAAGAATCCTTATGTGCCCGGAGAGGACGGCTGTTGACGGCTGTCAGAACCGTAGCACTATCGTCCAGCAAATGTTAAACAGCCTCAGCTTCATGAGCGCGACTATGTGGCAACGCACTCCGCAATGTTCTATATTTGTTTCACGGGTAGGTGACGTGAGATGTCGACGTTGAGCACAAGCAGTAATGCACCAATGAGACAAAAGGATGCCAAGAGAGGAGGAGCAGCGTGACAGTCACAGGACTGCATGACGGAAAATGAAGAGTCGGCGTTTCGCATCGTGATGTATCGTATGCCAGCATTGCAATCATAGTCCAACGTGTTCTCACCGAACACTTTTCATTCAACCACACGACGTAGGAGTGCTACCAAATGTAATTGCACCATACGTGCTAGCAAGCTCCAACCAATTGCCTTCGGGTTCGAATAACAGAACCTACGGGGTCCGCTGCCATCATCACAGACTTCACATGGGAATCACATGAGACTCACACGAGAATCGCGCTTCAAAGGCTAACCAACTTTCCTTCTTGGTTACAATACCATAGCGAAAGCGAGGCGGAGCCGACGAGCACGGTCTACGCACAACGCACACGCGTGTGTGATACATCATTCAGGACTGGAGTGGGAGAACCACGTCAACTAGCAGCACTCCATCGCAGCACAGGTGTGTAGCTCCTGGATCCCTGCAGCACTGCATCAGCATTCACGTAGGCGTCATCACTGCAGGGGCAAGAAGAAGCTCGGAGAAAAGAAAGCAATCTTTAAAGGGACCGCGCCCGGTTTTTCGCCCCATGTGTGCGCACAGGTTCTGCCGAACCATCCGACAGCCCTGACCTACCCCTCAGTTTCCAGCCTACTGAGCAATACTCAATCACATGGCCCTGGGCCCGAGACCAGTAGACTGCTCCAGTCTCAGTCCAGGCCTATCACCCGTAGCACCCTCAGTCTCATGGCCGTCCCTGGCTCGGCCTAACTGGCACCTCGTCATATTTCAACATATTCTCCGCCCAGCCCTCCTAATCAGATTCCGTCCGCAAGTGCCCATCCCCAGCGCCAAGGCTCCGACGCGAGCCGCCGATCCGGCAGCTCGATGAGCGCCGCGCTAGCCGGCGCTAGCCGGAGTGGTTATCATCGAAGCTGCTGTCGCGTAACAGCCGCGCCCGGCCCGAAGCCTCGCTCGCGCTGGACAGGAAGCGCATCGACCCGGCCGCCTCGCGCGACAGCACCTCGTCACAGCGACTTGAGAGGAACGTTGAGAGGCCGGGCGTCCCGTTCAAGGCGTCCCGACCGTTGGCCTGCAGAGAGACACCGCTCTGGTCCAGCTCTCGCTGCAGGTCGTGGTTGCCGGCCATGCGTGCGTACGCGGCCGGCGTGAAGCCAAGCATGTCCTTGGCCGCCGGGCTCACGCCGTAGGCCAGCAGGAGCCGGCAGATGTCGGCATTGCCCGACAGCGCCGCCTGCCGGATCAGGGAGGAGTTAGCAGGAAGAGACGGCAGCGCTGCCTGCCGGACGTGGGAGCGGGCGTGGTTTCGTTTCAAGAATGATGGAATCGATTCAGACTCCATGTGCGAGTGACGCAATTCGATTCGACTTCGATTCTGACCAAGGATAGGTGGTGAAATTCTGGAATCGGTTTCAATGCAGCCAATTACCGTGGTGGCATTCTATAGGTTGGGTGTGCCGTTCTATTGAATTCGTTAAACCTTCATAGGCCATTCGCTTTGACAGCAAGATGGCATCTATAACTCTATCCATATGGTCCACGTATAAGCTCTGTCACACTTTGAATATCATTGTTACAATGTTTCTCTCAGTAAAAGCACTAGGATGACAAACGAAATCAATGAAATCTATTGCATTTCCATAAACAAAAATTTGTTGATTCTCAGGTCGCGTACAGCTCCACCTGGAGACGAGAACAAGCTTGCCCAAGAGTATTCCCTCCGGGAGGGCACAGGGTGCTTTTATATTGGATACGAACAACAGAACAAAAACGAATCCGTTATTTCCTATCACCTGTCGGAAAGGTAAATCTCTGACTTGGCATTTCTTTTTGTTTATTTTATTTTTTTGAAACCGCTAGCAGCACCTATACTTTTGAAATGGCAGCGAAAAACGCAAGACACGGTGAACAATTTTGTGCCATTAGCATGTTCCGTATAAATACATTTTCTACTTCTCGTAACCAGCCCTGCACGTGCTATAGCTCATCCATCTGCTCGCTTTAGCGGAAGGCCCATTGTCCTGTTGGGTATGACGCAATCATAACTTCGTCCAAGATACACACCGCGCGCTGCTTACGCTATACTTCACTAAACAGACATGAGCGGCACCACAGGCAGCACTGGCACCATACCACGTGCAGGGCGGTGCGTCCGGTGGCGTCCGGCTTGGCCGAGGTCGGTCTGGGCCAGTCGGTATGCCTCCAGCATGGTGACCCGGCCAGTAGCGGCGGCGCTACACAGCTGCTCGCCTGGCGACGGAGGGGGGGGGGGGGGGTCGTCACATGGGGGAACAAGCTGCCCCCTGAGGACGGGGGCTGGGGTACGTCACACAGGGAACATCTGCTTCCCTGGTGACGGGGGGGGGGGGGATGGGCAGAAGTACGTCACAACCGGGAACAGCGTACCCCCTGGCGGCGGGCGGGGAGAGGCAGCACATCACGACGTGTCACAGCGCTGGCCAGTTGGAGAGTCACGTCACTACACCGTACATCCACACCTAGTGCCTGATGTCTAGAGCATGTGAATCCCTGGCGGCACAGACAGCCTGACATCACAGCGCACGTCACATCTGCGTCAGGGTGACGTGGCGCGACAGGTGACGTGACGTGGCACGTGACGTGACGTGCCGAAACAGGTGCGTAGTTCGGTAAATTGTGATGTGACGGTAAGTCATGTGAGACATGGCGTGACATCAGTGAGATGGACACAGCTATCAAAACGGAAAATTCCCAGCTGTCTCATGGAGCCACATCGAATCTTAGCAAAGCATGGATAATGGACCTCTGCGATCTGGTAATCATCTCTGACAGCCACATAGTGCCTACATGCAGAATGTAACTACACGCAATGCGATAAAAGATGACCCAAGCACATGTTTGTCTTGGAGAAACCCAGGTGATGACCGTCATTTATCGCAACAAACGCTGCATTGCATATCCAGCGCAAATACGCCCATTTCAGCGACGGCGGCTCATACAACTCTCACCCAACTTGTGCTTGATCCAGTGTACAGTTGAAATCGACTCCGGAAACGAACGAAATTTGAGTTTTGCCACGATGGAATTGAGGCCTTTTAATTGTCTCGTGATTCGAACCCAGAATTAACTCGACATAATCATCGATGACTAGACTCCATTAGGGACGCAAATAACGACGCATATTAATGCTATGACACCCTATACGCGGACCAAATGAAAATCACCGATGCAGACATATCTTGAGATTAGAATAGGCGTTCTATGTAGGCCTTAATATCACAGAATACCTCCTCATTTGTCAAGGAAAGCGATTCCGCCGGGACTGATCCCGGAAAGTTGAGCCACTTCTCCTCGATTTGGCATTGAGATCAATCCAATGTTGCACTGCCTTACACGAAGTCAGAGCCAAAATATGCCCCATGCGCTGTAAGTCGGAGCCGGGCCCGATTCCATTGAAGCAGGATCAAGCACGAGTGTGCCGCCCTCTCCATCGGTAGCAGGCATTGCACGTCACGCGGTCCCGTTCTGAGGCGTCACTCTCCCACGAGTGTGTCGCCCTCTCCATCGGTAGCGGGCACTGCACGTCACGCGATCCCGCTCTGAAGCGTCGCTCTCCCACGATTGTGCCGCCCTCTCCATCGGTAGCCGGGCACTGCCGTCACGGCCCTCTCCATCGGTAGCGGGCACTGCACGTCACGCGGTCCCGCTCTGAGGCGTCGCTCTCCCCAAAATATGACTGGGATTGCCCCACTAGAGATTTTGAACTTTCGCTGCTGTTTTCCATGCACCACAACACAATTATTGGGGGTCGGCAGAGGGTAATTCTGAACTTTGGTCGCTTTTCCTATCCATCGACTCAAAACATCCACGCTGCTTGACAGGTATGAGACTGATGGTGAGACATGAGATTGCTCTGTCCCGCATGCACGAGTGGCCTGCCTGCGGGCTGCGCCACTGACCGAGGTGCGCCGGCGCCATGGACAAGATGGGCGCCGCAGTCCACCAATATGCGGATGCAGTCGAGCCGCTGGAACTGCCACGGCCGAGTGGAGAGTGCGTGGCGCCGCTGCGGTCGCGGATGTGAACGCTGGCGCCGTGCAGCAGCAGGTGACGCAGCACGGCCGTATTGCCCTCACTCGCAGCCACGTGCAGCGGCGTGCGCCGGTCGTAGTCCATGCTGGACACGTCAGCCCCCTGAGCGTAAAGGGGTAGGGCAGGGGGAGGGGGTGAACATGCGGGTAAGACGAGATACATGAGCAATCAGCCAGCATGGTACGCCTGAGTGATAAGTCCTTTCAACAACGTGGCACCGATATCCTGAGGGCCACCAAGGCACTGCAAGAACAGCATAAACACACTGGCTGCCGCTGGTCGCAGCAGCAGCTCACGACAATACGGATGCTCCTTAAGGACCCTCACTGGATTGCCATTAAGCGTACATTAGCCTGACGATTTGTACGTCAACCTGTAGCGTGGCTTTCGCCACCATTTTGCAGCACTGAACCCTCGAAGCCCACCTTAACGAAACAGCCTCCAGACAAACGACCCCCAGCGTTCAGTCACCAGCCCATGACCTGGTCCGGCGCCGATGACCTGGTCCGGAGCCGATGACCTGGTCCGGCGCCGATGACCTGGTCCGGAGCCGATAACCTGGTCCGGCGCCGATGACCTGGTCCGGCGCCGATGACCTGGTCCGGAGCCGATAACCTGGTCCGGCGCCGATGACATGGTCCGGCGCCGATGACCTGGTCTGGAGCCGATGGCATGGTCCGGCGCCGATGACCTGGTCTGGAGCCCATGACCTGGTCCAGAGCCCATGACCTGGTCCGGCGCCGATGACCTTGTCCGGCGCCGATGACCTGGTCCGGCCGCCGATGGCCTGGTCCGGCGCCGATGACCTGGTCTGGAGCCCATGACCTGGTCCAGAGCCCATGACCTGGTCCGGAGCCGATGACCTGGTCCGGCGCCGATGACCTGGTCCGGCGCCGATGACCTGGTCCGGAGCCGATGGCCTGGTCTGTAGCCCATGACCTGGTCTGGAGCCCGAGCAGCCTCACTCACGAAGTTCCGCAGCGCGTCGATGCGCTCGATGGAGCCGCATTCGGCCGCAGAGCACAGCATGGCCGGGTACAGGGTCTCGCGCAGCCGCTCCACCTCGCCGCTCGAGGTCATGTGCATCTTGCGCGCGATCGCCTCCACCAGGTCCTGGTCGTGCAGCTCCACGTCCACGTGCGCGGTCAGCTCGCCGCGCAGGTTCTGCGTTATCTTCTGTTGGCGGCAGACACGGCGCGCTTCAGTTTATCGTTGTCCTTGCGTTGAGCCGACGCGGCAACACGTTCGCAACTGCTATTTTCGTCAGTGGCTCATATACCAGAACTTCATCAGCGGCAGATTTAGGAAACGATGTAAACTCATTCAGTTAACCCTTCTACGTCGTCAGTACCTTTTTACGTAGGCAATACGGACAGCAGTGGAGCGAACGCACACACTTTAACCCAGCACATCGGCGTAGATCAGGAATCACAGTGACACGGATGCCTGGAACAGGTAGCCACCAAGTCTCCAAGCGCACCAAGTCTCGAGCGCGTCAGTCGGCCCGTACCTGTCGTTTGGTCTCGAGGTCCCACTCGTCCTTGGTGAGCACGTAGGCGAGCTTGGTGAGCGCGGCCTCGGGGGTCATGTCCGCTCCGGGGAGCACGCCGGCGTCCAGCAGGGACTTGCCCGTCTCGTAGGTGGCGCTGACGGCGCCCTGGAGGACGCAACTAGCCGTTCAGAGGATGCAGGCACGGGCTAGCGTCCAGCACGGCTGTCTGCGGTCGCACAGCCTGATCTCGACATAAGGACCCTATGAGACGCATTATGCTAACCAGTTGAGGCCAGGTTGTTGAGAACTGTCCACGAGCCAGTGGCTAGAATAAACATGCCAGTGGCTGGGGTCCACGAACTAGTGACTAGTGTCCACGTGCTAGTGACTTACGTCCACGTTCTAGTTGCTAGTGTCCACGTGTTTGTCATGGCTGCCAACACGCACATTGCGTTGGGTACCCACATAGATAAACAGATAGACACTCCTCAGCAAAGGGCGGCCGGCCTATTTTATGTTTTGTCATGCCCAACCGGCGCCAGCTTAACCGTGTCAGACAAACCACAGCCTGTACACCAGCTGCATGTGATGAGCAGTCCTATCAGCTTCTTCGCTGCGTATCCACACCTGACTGCACTGGGTGCAGTTGACGACGATGACACCCTCGCTGTCTGGCCTGGTAGAAGGCGTCTAGCAGGTCCTTGCGGTTGGAGGGTACATTGCCGGCCCCGTACGACTGCAGCACTACCCCCTGGATCGGTTCTTGGAGAAACGCTTTCACCTGCGCAAACCGCGCCGTGCCGTGGTGGAGATAATGCAGCTTGCCGATCTTGGAATCGATCGGCAAACGAAAAAGTCCGTTGGTTTCTCCTGGATTGAGAACCGTGGACGTTAAATGCACATGCTGTGCGCGACTCAGGCTGGCCAGCCCAGGTGCTTGGCTAGCCGTGTAATATCAGCGGGTATATCGTTCAACTTCCAAATTATCCCCAGCTGAGCACTTACACCAGTTTCGTAGCATGTGCTCTACCATCGGCGTCATTTCTAACAGGGTTTTTCTACACACACACTAACATTTCTCCTCCTACGTGGTCAACATTCACTTTGCCCACACCGGAGGCCTGGTCGTTTGCAGGGCAGTTCACCTGGTCAGGACTACTGCACGGGCGACGCAGAGCGCGTCACTGACCGTCTCCGTCGTGATGGAGGGAAACAGGCGGAGCAGCCCGACGTGTCGGCAGAGGCGGCTGTGGACCTCAAACCGGGCGATCGTCGTAGGACGGAATATCGTTCGGTAGTCAACTGCGAAAACAGTGCAGATGACATGACAGCAGAGTCTGATGATATGCTTTTCGGTGGGTGGGGGAGAAGGGCGGGGGGGGGGGGATAAACGCGTATCGCCTTCTGAGAACAGAGCTTAGATAGATCTTTGCTTTGATAAATCAATATATGCATTCATAGTCATGAGAAAAGACACAGTTTTAGGCGGTTGCTGAACGAGGGGTTCTTGCGGAAGGCAAAAACAGTAACAGCGAACGAGATGCCAGAGCCATTGTCGAGGCATATGCCACAAGGAAAGAGGTTCTAACTACCATCTCCAGAGCCCTCGGCCGCGAGCAGGAGCCAGCACCAGCTTCCACTTGGTCTGGCGGTGAGTCACCTTCGATGTCGATGCCGACCGACACGAGCGGCGACAGGTTGGGTGAGCCGAAGGCGCTCAGCTTGCCCGTGCTGATCTTGGTGGTGCGGTTGCCGCGGAACAGCTCGTGGTTGAAGAACACGGTGACCTCGGGAATCGTAAACTGACCGGCCAGCAGCAGCGCCACCAGAAAGTTGTCGCGACCGTCGCTGCGCGTCTCGAAAATAGGGATCTGCAACGGCGACACGACGAAGCCCCTGTTCACACTAGGGTACGGCCTGCGACTTTCGGTACCGAAGGAGCGTTTGCCTGGCAGGTGTACCTGCTGACACTGAGGGTAGAGCTGCTCTCTTTGGCACGCGTCGCGAAACGTCGGAAGAACTGAAGTCTGCACTGTCAGGTAGCCCGCGTAAACTTGACTGAGGTTTGTTTGTGATGATCCAAGGACTTAACGGTCAACTGGTTCATATGTTTAGCACCACCACGTGCCACTCGCGCAGGATGTACTGTACTCAGCCTCCATGAAATGACATCAACCAGATGCCTTTTGCGGCGTCGGGCGACTAATGAAATAACATAGGTAAAGGTCAGAGTGATTTAGGTCATACAAAAACATGCTCAAAAGAAAACTACCGCGTTTAGAAGCTTATACAAGTTCGTGTTTATATCACTGATTGAAATAGTAATGAGTTGAGCTCATGCTGGAGCATTCAATCAGCTAACTTTATGGAATATTCAATGAGTTGGGTCATCTCCAATGGTTTTGGCAGGCAGAAGTCCACTAATGTATCATGCATGGTGTACAGGTGAAGCATCACGGCTTTTTTTTTGCTTGGGCACATACTTGGACCACATGTGTGCATAATTTCTCTTATGGTTTAAGATCAGCCCTTTGCCTTATATAGTGCCTCACAACTGCCGTTTGTTCGCCTGAAATTCAGAGGCCATGTTTTAAACATTTAGTCTAAAATCTTTTGATTGGATCGATATTTGACATCAGAGCCCACGGCTCGGCAGTGCTCGTTGCGTGTGAGGCCAGACCCCACCACACCATCATGAAATTTCGGGTCAAGTTGATAATTTTGTGGCGTAAGTTTGCCGTGCAGTTAGCAGTGTTTGGCGCGGGCTGTTTTGTAGGGCGTCGTAGCATGCCGGATTATATGCCGTCGCCGTGCCAACCGTTTGACACGAAGGTTATAGCGCTGAGCGCGTGTGCGGTTTATCGTAAGTGGCGTAGTGTTCCTGTTGACCAGTCGGTCGGAGACTCGTTTGACCCTTCAGTGGAGACTCGTTTGACCCTTGGGCTCCCAATTTAGAGGGAGCTGGCCGTCGTTCAGCCTGGTCTCCTGACGCGCGCTCCTGGTCGCTCGAATCGCGTCGCGATCAGGGCCGGCTCGAGCGTAGCAGTGTGTGGGAGGTGGTGGAGGGGAGACTGAGTAGGAAAGCGACGGACCCAGGTGGTCAACAGGGAAGGGGCCGAAAAAGAAAGGAGAGTGAAATCATTTAGGCCTCTGGCTCGCCCGCACCTTGCGCAGAGACCTGGCTGTTTGGGGTGTCTCTTGTCCATTCAATGGCAGCCCTCTTCTTGAGCCATGATACATTTTAAGATCGCATCAATAAATGTCGATGGACTCCGATTCCTTGGGAAATCGAGCAAGCAAAGACAATTGTTTTTGCTGGTTTAAGAAACGAAGATTAGATATAGTGTCCATGCAGGAGACACATACAGACATCACAACCGAGAACATGTGTCTGAGCGAATGGGCAGGACGGGGCGTTTTCGCTTATGGCGACAACAGGAGCAGAGGGCTCGCCATCCTTATTAATCTAGATATGAAAATGTCCATCCGAACAACCGTTAAGTGTTCATCAGGCCGTTTCGTCATTCTCGTTGCCGACATCAACGGGAACACAGTTCTGTTAGTGAACACATGCGGACCGAATACAGACAGCCCGAGCCACCTTCGCACCTTACTTGACAAGTGCGAAGAAGTGCGAGCTGGTGACATCATATAGGGCGGGCATTTCAACTTAGACGTGGAGATCGATAGGTTTACTGCTGCAGCCAGGTGTTACAACACCGACGAATCAAAACGGGCAGTTCAAGAATTTATGCGAGCAGACTTGCTAATAGACATTTGGAGGTCATCGAACCCTGAAGTTCGCATGCATACCCATGGACGTAGAGATCCACAAAGTAAATCTAGGATCGATCTTCTATAATTATTGACTCGTTTCTTTCCCAGGCTGAAGCACCCAAAGCCCAACTTGCGGACAGAATTATGTCCGATCGTAGGATAGTCGTTGTTGAGCTGAGCATTCACAAAACTAAACGGGGCAAATCATATGGGAAGTTTAATAATTCGTTGTTGCTCGACGATGTTTACCTGCAGTCGGCAAGACTGAAAATGGCTGAAATTATCTGAGAAAATTCGACAGGAGTATCAGCATGTTTGCTCCTGCACACAGTGTCGTGCGTGTTACGGTGGTATACAATACAGTATTCATCTCGCAAAAAGAAGGAGGGGGAAAAGAGATTAAATGGGTAAGAGAATGCCATAAATACGATCCAAAGGTCTAACTTATGCGTACCAGTCAATTCTGACGCAGTTCCACGGCTTGCCAGTCCTAAAAAGGAAAGAGGCAACATTCTGCGAGACATAACTTCGGGCATGTACAGTTGTCAGGCACGGTGGCGACACCTTCCGGAGCGAAGTACCGCTTACTTTTACGGGTTGAACAAACGCCTCCACAGGCCTGGACAGATGGTGTTTAGGCCAATGATATTAAGCTATACTAAAGCCGGGCATACCACAGAATCCACATGGGAGGTGTCAAAACATGTAAATCTATTTTGAAACACTATACAAGCGATCAGCATGTGACGTTTGGAGCGAATTAATTTCATGCATCCATGGCATGACAAACTCGGAAGCAAAAGAGCTGGAGGGGCCTCTTAGAAGACAAGAACTCTGCAAATCCGGCGTCCGTGGCGAGCTCGACTAGCCCTGGTCAGGACGGCTACACGGTACCTTTTTGCAAGCTTTTCGGCAGGAACTGGGCACCATAGTCTGTGGCGCTGTTAGAGAAACACACGAGTATGCTCACATCCCACCAGAACTGCAGAAGAGTGTAACAATTCTCAGCCCGAAGCATGGGTGTTGATTTCTCAAAATGATAGGAGAGGCCAAAGTCTTGAAAGTCGCTATAAGGGACAGGTGTGAAAAATTCCTTGGATTTTTCCACTTACGATCTGGCCTTTCAACATACCATGTGTATATGATATATATATATATATATATATATATATATATGCATTAGTACATGTAGGCAGCAATGTATGTTCTATGCGAGAGTTGCCAAAGACCTTGGAATAGACACATTTTATCAGCTTTATCTGTTCTTCCTCGAGTTTTCTGATTATCCCCCTCTGCCCATCATTGAGACTGAAAAGTGGCTGGCTGATGTTTGATATCCATTAATTGTACTAACGTTTCGAAATTACATCCTGCATTTTCAAAGTTACTCACATACATCATACAAGTGACGAATATTTAATTACATATTACGGTTGGTGTAAACAGTAAGGTAAAACCGCTAGGCATCATCAAGCTCAGTTCGATCCCCAAACTTTATAGTCTAGATAATGTGGTTGACATTTTTTGGGGAGTATAAGAATTCAAGCGGCAAAACACGGACTGAGTGGTAAGATATACCACCTACGGATGATAGCGATCGTTCCTAAATGAGATGAGGTGAAGGGTGATGAAGGGGGTCGCTTGCTTGCTTAGTTCCGGTGACAATGCTTTGATCGTGAGAGCCTTCAGGACACAAAGCTTCCTCCAGTTTGATGATAATGTTAAGATGTTAGTGTTTCTGGTGAAGTCGGTTGATGTTCCCGTCGTGTTCTTTTTGCACGTGCTCTTTTGGATCACCATCAGCCAAGTGCGTCGTCAACCGCCTTGAGAGTGTGGTGGTAGCGACACCAACGTAGTTTGATTGCTTTAGTAGCCTGTAATCTCATGTCACAACGAAATTGGTAAACGACATTAGTTCGTTTCAAGGAGCCAAAGTTGGCTGTCAGCTTATTTTTCATGATTATTTGGGTGACCTTTCTATTTTTGTAGTAGCTGGTGAGCGTTACCCTGCCGTCCTGGCCGACTGGCTCGACGTTTTCAGGCATCATTTTCTGGAGGATACGCTCGTCTGTCTCATCACCATCAGACATTCGATTATAATGGAAGAGCTTGATTGGGTTTGGTTGATGTTTGACGGCGTCAACTTTTTCTGATATTGTGACACAAAGCTGCTGGTCTCACGGTCGATGGCGCTGCTGGAGAAGCCAACCTTTACTAGAACTTGCTTGATGCGCCGCAGTTCAGTGTGTAGTTGCCACCAATCGTAACAGAGTTTGAAGGCTCTTCGGAGGTAGGAGCGCACTACACTGATCCTGTACCGGTCGGGGTATTCGCTTGTGACACTGAGGCATCGTCCAGCATCTGGTAGCTTTTTGAAAACTGTCGTCACGAATCGTCGGTCAGCAGTGATGTTTCTATCTAGAAATGCAATACGGTTATTGACGCCCAGGTCGTAGATGAATCGGAGAACTGAAGCTTGTTCCACTGCACTTTTTAGTTAGATCAGTTGGCTTCCATCACTAACGTCTACGAAAGTCAGCATCAATGTTCAATGCAGTCTTAATGATCAAGTGAAATCCGTGCGTACTGGACCATTATTTGCTTAGTGATTTCTGACGTATTTGCCTACACATTTGCAAGAATTAAGTATTCAAACAGATGTGGATGTCACCACTCGTTTACACGTAGGCTCTCCACCAAACCGAAGTTTCATCGATAAAATATATGCGCTTCATTTAACGTAAAACAGGTACAGGCACTCCTCCATTCACCAGTAATGAAAAGGGTCCTCAACCTTTCCCTAAATAGCTGAAGTAGATGCCCTACTGTCGAGAATGTCTTTCCTTATTCATTTCCTTTCACCTGCCCCTCAAGCCCGCGGTGTTTAGGGGACACTGCTCCAAACCTTTGCGTCTCAGAACGGTAAGCGACCCGAACCCACCTAACTTCGAATGCGTGGCAAATCAAGCCCCGCAGTGCCAGTATGACGCGCAATGCAGGTTGGGTATAAAAACATTGCTGGTTGAGCTGGGTCTTCAGTGGCCACATGCCATTATACTGATGTACCCATATTCGATGCATAATGAGCTCAACC